CGGAGAGTCTCCAGACTGATCTGTGAGTGAAACCTTGAAAGCTCGCGAGATCAGGATGGTCTCACGAGGCTAGGGTCAAACACCTTAAACTGGATATTCTCCCTCAGGCTTCTCTGATAGCTAGCAGAGTTCAATGTTCCATCACGTATGGTAAAATATTCCCGCTCAGCAAAGAGCCACAAACCATCATACTACCACCACCATGTTGGACTGTAGGTAGTAAACACACACAATGGACAATTCGATATGGAACCAAATGTCCAGTGGGTCTGCAGGGGGGTTTGGAGAGAAACTCTAAGATACATTTTTATCTATTTCCCCGTCTCTCTGCTTTCTTCAGTCACTGACCATAACTATGTGAAATTAAGTCTGCAGTTAATTAGAGATCTGTTTTTATTGACAAACAAAGATAACTATACCCAACTCTGTATTTTACTGGGTCAACTTTTACTGAAAATACATTTATCTGATCTGAATATAAGTGCAATAAAAAAAATAGAGAAGAAAATATGTCAGAAAAAATTTTTTTTCATAGTTTTTTGGTGTCAGGCTGAAAGTTTCCTGTATTTGTGTTCTGCAGATATGACCGGGTTTTGGATGTTTGCAGCCTCAGAGCTGACCTTACTATCCTGCCATATGGAGATCAAACAGAGGCAAGTGCTTTCTTTTATCCTCCTCTTCCTCACCGGTGTCCTGTATCCCTTCTATCTTTCTGCTTCATGCTCACAGCTCTTGTCATTGGTCTGGAGCTGTTGATGTCTATGCTCATTCCAAACATTCACAATAAAATAGACAAATATAGTTCAGGAAGTTGATAGAAAATCACAGATTTTACAAAGTGAAACCTGCAGTAAATGTAGATTGATTGCTCAATGTTTATGGCTCAATAGAAATAAAAAGCCAAACTCCAGTTTCTCAGAAATGTTAATATTACAGTACATATGATGAATACAACAAGCATATTTTAAACTGAAATATCAGGCTTATCAACAAAGATGTTTTGCATGATGTAATCACACTTTTTTCTTCTATTTAACTTTCTATGAACACAGAGTTTAACTCCCACAATAATCATATTTTATTATAAACTGAATTTTAGGTTTTTTATCATCTTTATCATCAATAAAAAGAAATAAGGGGTAGAAATATTGAACTCTGTGGATAGATTAGATTAGATTAGATGAGCTTTATTGATCTCACAGCGGAAAAATTCACTTACATATTGGCATAGTAATTAAAGAAGGTGCAAACAAGGAGGAAAAAGGTGCATTAAGAATAAACAATATATATATAGTATATCAAGATAAATAAGGATTAATTAAATAATGGTCACTTATTTTCTCTAAATAATGCAGAAAAACCCCAGACATTTTTCACAGTATTTAACGTTTTAGGTAAACGTATGGTGATAGTTCTAATGCTGTTTGGTTGCTAGATCGGAGAAAGGGGTCTGAATCTGTCCGGAGGGCAGAAGCAGAGGATCAGTCTGGCCAGAGCCGTCTACTCTAACAAAGACATCTTCCTCCTGGATGATCCGTTGTCTGCTGTCGATGCTCATGTGGGAAAACACATCTTTGAAGAATGCATAAAGAAAGAGCTTCAAGGAAAATCCATCATCCTTGTCACGCATCAACTCCAGGTAGGAAAGCATTGAGCTCATTGCATATGTTAAAAGATTTTATAACCTAAAAGAATCG